TCTCCATTCCCTCCTGATCAGCTGGGAGTCGGGAGGCAGAGACTAGATGGAGATGGGGGCCGGTCAGAGGTGGTATTTACTGGTTCTCTGAACTACTCAGAACCTGCTGAATTCCACCTCTGACTAAAACATATGAAGAACGGCTGCAGGATTTGGGTCTGATTAGTCTAAAGAAAAGAAGAATTAGGAATGACTTGATAGAAGTATTCCAGTAGTTGAGGGACAGTATTTGAAGACCCTCCCCAAAGAAGAGGGGGTCAAATTATTCTCCAAAGCAACAGAAGTCAGGGCAAGAAACAATAGTTGGAAACTAATCAAAGAGAAAAGCAACTTGGAATTAAGGAGAAACTTCCTAACAGTGAGGACAATTAACCAGTGGAACAGTTTGCCTCCAGAAATCATGTGCACTCCATCACTGGAAGATTTTAAGAATAATGTAGGCATTCTGAGATAGTATAGGCTCTCCAGCTTGAGCAGGGGGCTGGGCTAGAAGACCTCCAAGGTCCCTTCCAGCTCATTCATTCTAAATATAGAAATCAAAGCATATCTTTTTAAAATCAATCCTTAGAAATATAAGAACAGCAGAGCGAAGTAAACATATGATATCCATTTCTTCTGCTTCCTGTTTGCAAGAATCTGGTGAATTAGGGCAAGATTGAGCCATGATATTTGCCACCACTTTCCTATATGTTTAATACGATGATTAATTAATCAGAGATGTAATTTAAAAGATGCTAAAATTAAACAGTCAACTTCAGTTGAACTTCTGGTGACATCATTGGACTACCATAGTTTTCTCTTTCTTTCTGCTGGGATTCTTTGTTTTATTTCTTATTTCTTGGTTTAGTTGACAGCCCTGGTGTTCTTTTGGGCAGGTGCTAATTTGACTTGATCCCAGGTGCTAAACTAGATTTGTTTGAGCAGAGTTGAGGTCAACCAAGTGCGGCCCCAAAACTTTCCATTAGTTAGCTAGCTGAAATAGTTGGGCAACTTTGTACTGGACTGAATTTGACAAATCCTATTGGAAAACTTCACTTTGTTCTAGCTGGGTGCAGATATTCTCCAGGTCTGATGGAAGCAAATATGTTATCAGGCCTCCAGGCATATTCCTTTTAGGATCTTTGGCCTGCCACACTTTCTTATTTTACTATGCTGTTTCATTAGTGGGGTAATTGGGAGGGGGAATATTAAGGAGCAGAATGTGTTGCTGTCAAAATAAAACATTCCTTTCTAGATGCCCAAGGTCATCCTTTGTCTCTGCACCTCTGCACCTGACCGGAAGTGGATGGGTGGAATTGCCAGCGTGGCAGTAGAAGATTGGACCATATGATGAACTTGAGGGTGTGGGGGCCAAGATCATGAACTTTCAACTGGGTGGGAAACCCCAGAAGCTTTCAGATTCGGGTTTCTGCAGATGTGCCAACATGTCTCTCTTAATAAATTGGAAGTTTGAGGAAAGCTATGCCTTGGACTCTGATTTAATTTTGGATGATATTCAGAACGCTGATATTTGTGTTGAACTGTGGGGTTCTTGGTGATCTCTGAGCTTCGTGGTTTTCTTGTACATATTTCATTACCTAACTAGGTAACATCATCAGTGCTAGAAGGGAGTGGGGATTGGGAGGAGGAGGAGGGTTATTATGGGGTCCTTGGTGCTCTCTGAGCTTGGTGATTTCTTGCAGGTGTTTCATTCACAAGCTAGGAAACATCATCAGTATGATGAACACTGATGATGTTCCCTCATTGGGTCATGAGATGCCTACAAGCAAACCATCAAGCTCAGAGAGCACCAAGAAACCCAACATTCTTCAGATCCATCAGAAAATCTTGGTTCAAAGAAGAAGAAGGATTGCCAAGTGGGAGTTCTTATTACAAGCAACAAGAAATGTGCATAAAATCTGTCTACATTGGGCCATCTATAATTTACACCAAATCCCACAATTTGATAATGGCCCTGAACTATTCTGAACTTCTCAAGCTATTCCATCCATTTTTAGAAGGAGAGCTGAAAGACAGTGTCAACTCGGGAAGCTCTCTCGACCTGCTCTCGAGTTGCAATAGGCAGGGGAATGTGGACTTGAGCCTCACAGCTGTATCAAGGAGTTTGAACCTCAGTCAAAACAAAGCACATTCCAGCCAGCAAATGTCAAGGCCATCTCCACAGAAATCCACAGTGGCCGGAGGGAGTGACTTCTACAACCTGTAAAATTGCTTCATTGGGGAATGTGACTGACAACACACCTTGGGGGGAAGGGTAAACAGGGTGAGAGCCAAGGACTTCACTTGGTACATGCTGACATGACTCTTTTAATTAATAACTGGATTTCTTTTGAACCTCAGCTTGAGATTCATGATTTAATTAGGCCATTGATTGGAACCCTGACAGACAGCATTCTGGAGAAAACAGGTGACCAAGATGACACAGCATCTCAAAGATGACACGTCACATACACCAAATCTAAAAATATTTGGTGTTCTGACCTAGGCTTCCTTTAAAAGCATGAAGCCGAGTCTGGGTTGTGGCAAAACCTCTTTTATTTACACGACTGTGGATTCCTTTCATTCACAGTCCTCCAGGCTTAGCAAACAATGTTTCAGAGGAATGTTTATCCACACAAACCTTATCTCACTTGGAGAGCTGCCAGATAACTAGTNCAAGGTCCCTTCCAGCTCATTCATTCTAAATATAGAAATCAAAGCATATCTTTTTAAAATCAATCCTTAGAAATATAAGAACAGCAGAGCGAAGTAAACATATGATATCCATTTCTTCTGCTTCCTGTTTGCAAGAATCTGGTGAATTAGGGCAAGATTGAGCCATGATATTTGCCACCACTTTCCTATATGTTTAATACGATGATTAATTAATCAGAGATGTAATTTAAAAGATGCTAAAATTAAACAGTCAACTTCAGTTGAACTTCTGGTGACATCATTGGACTACCATAGTTTTCTCTTTCTTTCTGCTGGGATTCTTTGTTTTATTTCTTATTTCTTGGTTTAGTTGACAGCCCTGGTGTTCTTTTGGGCAGGTGCTAATTTGACTTGATCCCAGGTGCTAAACTAGATTTGTTTGAGCAGAGTTGAGGTCAACCAAGTGCGGCCCCAAAACTTTCCATTAGTTAGCTAGCTGAAATAGTTGGGCAACTTTGTACTGGACTGAATTTGACAAATCCTATTGGAAAACTTCACTTTGTTCTAGCTGGGTGCAGATATTCTCCAGGTCTGATGGAAGCAAATATGTTATCAGGCCTCCAGGCATATTCCTTTTAGGATCTTTGGCCTGCCACACTTTCTTATTTTACTATGCTGTTTCATTAGTGGGGTAATTGGGAGGGGGAATATTAAGGAGCAGAATGTGTTGCTGTCAAAATAAAACATTCCTTTCT